GCCTCACCTGCGCCGCGCGCCTCTGCGCCTCGGGAGCCCGGCCCGCGCCGCCGCGCGAGGAGGGACGGCGGGAGGGACCGGCACCGGCTGGCTGGGAGCTGGCTGCAGAAGACGTTCCAGAAAATGCGTGGCGTTTAAATGCCTCTCTCATAGGTTTAGGTTCCGGTGGGAGGTCTGTGGTTTCGCTCCCTCCCTCTCTGCCTCCCTCTCTCTCTGCCTCCCTCTCTGTCCGTCTCTCTGTCTGTCTCTCTCCTCTCCTTCTGTCTTCTCTTTCTCTCTGTCTTAAACAAGCAAAAGCACCCACTGGCCTCCACACTCCTCAGACGGGATGGTTGGCATCCGGAGGGCGTTGTTTTTGTTTGCTTGTTTTGTTTTACCGCGTCCTTTGCGAACGCTCCTCAGAGTGTCATTGCGTAAGGCAGACGCTGACCCTACCGCTGTGCGCATTGGTTTGCCGGTCCCAGCGAACAAGAACGCACTTGCAAGGTGCTTATGCTCAGATTTGGGAGTGCTGTGGAGTTTGGTGCGTTTTTCAGTGTTAAGTACTGACTGAGGGTTTGCTGGACAGGTAGCATTTGCAGACACAGGCGTGCTGCACGGTCCGCTGCAGCCCGGCCCAGGGTCCCTGTGCTCCGCAGCCGGTGAGCCCGCCGGGCCCCCCGGCGTGACAGCGCACTTGGCTGCGCTGGGAAGGAGCCTTGCTTCACTCAGTTCTCGCCTTGGATTCAACAAAACGTGCGGAGCTCCTCGCCACCCCGACCACCGACCTCCAGGGCAGGAGTGGGGAGAGGAAAAGGAAGGGGTCCTCCCTCGGGTGCGCTCAGCTTCTGCTCACCTGCTCTAACTTCCGCGCGGACCCTCTGCACTCTGCCCGGAGAAAGCAGCCTTCTTTTCTCTCCCCTCTGCCAGCCGCCCCGTCTCCTTCGGTCTAAGCAGCGTGAGGCCCTCTGCCTCCTGGACCCTTACTAGGGTTACCCCCTCATTCCCGTCACCCAGGGACCTCACGCCTGGATTAATTGTCCAAATAGCCCTCTGAAATACCTTTCAAAAAAGAAAAAAAAAAAAAAAAAAAAAGGTTCCATGGTACTCCTACTTGAACAGCTGTACTGGTTCTCTGTTGTCTAAAAATAAATTCCAGGTCTCCTCCTGTGCTTTTCAACCTGCCTCTGACTCACCTCTTCATCCTCCAGTGAAGAGAATTTTCATAACGAAGCCTCTGCCTGTGAGAGTCCTTCTCCCTACAATATCGGCCCACCTCTTGTTCATCCGGCAAACTCTTGATCACCCTTCAAACCCCCAACTCGGTTGTTACCTCCTTGGTGAATTCTTTTCTGAGGCCCTGTGTGTTGTAATCAACTGCCTGCATGCCTCGCTCCAAACAGTTAACTTAAGAACAATTTGTCCTATTTTTGTGTGATCTGATCTCCCGTGGATACAAATGAAGACACAAACAACCATAATATCTCAAGGTGCACCCCTTTATCATCCCTACCTGAGAAGAAGACCTGAGCCCCTTAACTCCCTCCCTCCTTGCTGGGAGTCTTAGGGAGTCCCTGTATGTCCTTTTCATATCCTTCTGCTCTTCCAAGCCTGCCCCTTGGACACCAAGGCTATTCAGTCAGTCACCTCAGTGATTTCCTGACCATGTTTGTCCCTTGGGGACTGAACCAAGGGGCTGTGTCTCCCTGTGTTACGGTCTCATGAAGCCCCTCCTTAACTCCTTTGGCTTCTTCTGGAATTGCCCTTCCTCTTTAGGGCCCAGTCCTAGCCCTTGAAATCAAGACAGAGAAAGAATGAGGCTCTTGAGGTCCAGGCCAGTCCTGCCGCCTTAGAGACCACTTAGGATACAGAGGTGCTCAGGCTTGTTGATGGGTGAGTACATCAATGAATCTCAGGCAAGAGACCGCTTCTCTGGGTGCAGCTTTCCTCATCGATACAGGTAGAATAGCAGCACAGTACCCAGGGTAGTTGTGAGGATCAAACTAACACACCGGACAGGATCTAGGACATTAACTAGTGCTCAGCAAATTCTACTTTGAATGGCAGTTGTTTGATGCTTGAATTAAAAAAAAAAAAAAAAAGCCAGAAGAGGAAAATTCTTCAGAGGGGATGGGAACCACATTAACAGCATAGAATTAAAATTAAATAAGTTTTGCTGCTCTGTGGTGGTTGCAAGAACATAAAATTATTTTAAGTTTTCAGTTTATGGTTTCAACTGCATTGCAGCCTTACCTTTCTGCGGATTAGTCTCCCCGGAGGATGCGCCACAGAGAGAACCAAACAGCTGGCGAAATGAAGGGAGCATGGGAGGAGGGGCTGGAAGAGTGATCTGAAAAAGGATTAGGAGGACGCCTGAGTGGGCAGAAGGACTTTCTAATGCGTTATTTGGTTTGCTTGGTGATGCACACAGCATTTTGAACTGGCTGTTTTGCCGGTGATATGCACAACTCTCCTTACCTGCTCCCCTTCCTTTCCCTGAGCCTAATCCCTCCGTCTCCTATTCCCAGCTTCAGTCCATCTGTATCCCACCGGAGGGCTGGGAATACGGTGAGTCTGTTGTCCTCATCACTTGATAACAATGGGAATTTCCACTGGCCTGGGGCTGTTGTGAGCAGTCCGCGCTGACAGTTCCATGCTGCGTGTACTGTTGTCCTCCCCCTTTTACGAAATGAGGCAAGAGAGGTTAAATACTTTGCAGAGATCACACAGCCAGCGGCAGAGATGAGACTCAAGAAGCCGGGGTGCTGGGATTCCAGAGCCCTCCGTCTTAACCGCACTGCCACGCTGCCTGCCAATCACAGTGCACTAAAAGTTTAATTGTTTGTTTTGATGGATGCATCAGAATGACATGGCATTAAAACAGCTAATCAGAAAGCCCCGGAGCCCCCCAGTGGCGCCTTCGGTGAATGAAAATGTTTTTGCATTTCTCTTCTTTTGCAGTCTTCTGTCTCAGAATTCCTCCTCTTCTTTTCCACTTTTTTTTTTCTCTTGCCTTACTTTTTACCCCAGTTTTCTTAATACACATCCATGCCTAGGCCCCCTTCGTGGAGGCGGTACACTTAGCTTTGCCCTAAAGCCTGCTATTAATTTCTCCAAGACCTAACAGAGCTCCAGCGATGCTAATAATGAGCTGTGTTTTCATGAGCAAGTTACTTTCCCTCTCCGCCTGTTCCCATACTGTGAAATGAAAGAGTTGGGTTAGGTGAACAGGGAAATCCTTTTACAGCTGTGCCATTTTATGAATCTGGTGGTAACCAAGGGCATTGATTTGACTCGTCTAGTAAAACTCAGATGCAAGCTGGCTGATTTTGGGTCAGGAAGATTAGAACACTAAAAAGTAAATATTTTCTATAGTGGTGTCACAGGGTGGCTTGCCATAAAAATGGCTTATTTCTTTTTTCTTCTTTTTTGTGGGAGGGGGGATGATGAGATAGGATCTTCCATGTAGTTCAGGTTGGCGTTGGACTCACTGTGTAGCCCAGACTAGCCTCAGACTTGTGGCAATCCTCCTGCCTCAGCATCCTGAGTGCTGGGACTACAGGTGTGTGCCACCATGCCCAGCAAAAATGGCTTATGCCAGTGCTATCATCCTAAGATTTTGTGGCTGAGCAACATGCATTAGTGTCCTATATGAAAGGGTGTTGCAACCCGGTAATGTAAAAAACCATAGTTATTATCTGGAAGTTTCTAAAAATGGTTCCCACTGACCTCTCCTCTGGATTCATGCCCTTGTGCAGTCCCTGCCCCTCACTATGTTAGCTTTCTGTCACCGAAATGAATACCTGGCTCTCTGTTTTGGAGGTTCAAGTCCATGGTTGGTTGTCCTCATTGCTTCCAGGCTTGTGATGAGGGAGCACATCATGGCGGGAGTGCAGAGTGGAGCAAAACTGCTCATGTCAGAGAGACGGGGATCCTGCAGTCTCCCTCAAGGGTGCGCCCCCAATGGCTCTCACTAGGCCCCATCCCTGAAAGATTCCAATAGCACCAATCTGGGGACTAGGCCTTCAGTGCACAGGCCTTCAGGGGACATTCTAGATCCAAATTATAGCAAATATGGCCTAGGGCTAGTGATTCGCTTCTAAGAACAAAATTGACCACACCAGTGGATGTCACCCCGAGAAGCAGGTATGCAATGACTCTGACTTCTGACTTCCTCTTTTGCCTGCTTGCTTGGAAGACTTGAGTTTCCGTACGGTGAGCTGTCTCATGGAGGTTCACATGGCGAGGATCTGAGGGAGGACCCCAGCTGAAAGCCTTTGAGGACAGAAAGGAACTGAACACTGCCACCGTTACATGAGGGAACTTGAAAGCCAGTCGTCCCCCAGCAAGTCTTGGGGAGACATCAGCTCAGGTTGACTCCTTGATTTCAGTCCCATGGGAGGCCCTGTGCCAGTGGACTCAGCAAAGCTGTGTTTTGTTTCCAAACCCACAGAAAGTAGAAGGTAAGTAATGCCGCTCCAGTTAAAATGCTAAACTCATCACTAACACAGTTGTTCAAGTGTCTTTCAGATCTCTGATCCCGCATCTGACCCCACAAATGAAACTATTTCCTCGATAGGGAAAGGACAAAAACCTTTCAACTGCCATTGTCCTAAGGTAAAGATCCAGTGCCAGATAAAGAAGCAATTGGGAGTGAGATGAGACATCAGTATGACTTTTCCAGTTAGTCTCAGGCATTCCTAGCTCAACACCCCAGAGTCATGCTGCATCCTGTACCACTGCTGGGTAGACCATCCACTGCGCCCCACCCAGAGCTGGTCCTTTATCCTCCAGCTACCAGCCACAGTTTCAGCTGGCCCACACCGCTAGAACTTTATCGTGCGTGATTATTACTCATTATTGATAATAATAGTCTATGCAGTTCTGTATTTACAATGCACAAGTAACGCGAGGACGTGTGCTTTCATGCATCATCACCTGGCCGGTGAGCAGGGGAAAGTTTCCACAGAAGCAAAACACTAGTCACTCCCCCGTGCTTCTCCGCACCATCTGCCTCCCAAGCCAGAATTCTGGGTGCCAGCCTCATGCCATTTGAGCACAGAGCAAATAGAAGCAGAAATCTGAAACTCGGTTACTTGCCTGGTGCTTGGCAACACCATACCTCTCCAAAAGGAGGTGATGTGCAGCACTGGGGGAAGGTGACCTTTGTGGCTGCCATATGTGGATTTCTTCTCAGAGAGCCTGTGAGTCACTAGGATCTTCAGTTCGGCTCAACCCACCCCCATGCTTGGGGGACCAAGTTAGAAAGAGCAGGAGCATTTTCAGTGATAATAAACATGTTCCTATAGCCAGCTCCTCCATCTGCTCCTGCGGCTTCCATCTACAGGGATGTACAGGGGTTCTGCTAAACAGACTGAAGTCTAGCCCAGGCCAGTGTGCAATCAGCCATAGCAGATAGGGTCATCAAGGACAGGAAACTGCAGCTCAGGAACAGAGATGCTGAGAAACACTCCTGATCTGTGCCCTTTGTTTCTGGCTTGAGGGGGAAAGATGACAGGTACAATGAAGATGAATTCACTGTGAAGGGAAGAAAGGGAGTGCTTCAGATGCAAGGCTCTAAAAATCTAAGTGAACGGAGGTACAATGGCTTTCTTACAAGGGTTGATCCACAAATATGGTGAATGTTTAACTTTTTAAAAAAACTCATTACAGTAAAGGCACATTGCCAAGAATTATGGAATAAGTGCATTTGAAGTGAGATGGAGTGTTTTAACGGAGATTAATGGCAAGCGGTCTTTTCCTGTAATAAAAATTTTTAAATTTAAACATTCTCTGTATTTTTGATTACCCCTCATTGTTTACAGTAATGTCTGTCAAATAAAAAATATTATGGTGTGTCCTCATCCACGTTATTCACTGACATTGGCACTATGTGACTTCTGGCTCTTCCCCAAGGTCAAAAAGACTATGAAAGGTCAACATTTTGAATAAATTCAGGACATCAAGGCAGCCACAACAGCAAAATTAGACACTCATAAAAGAGGACTTTCAGAGCTGCTTCAGAAAATGATAAGAATGACGAGGTAAGTATGTTGAAAGTGAGAGGGAATATTTTGAGGGGGATTTACAGCAAGGTGTCTATTAGTGTAATAAAATTTTTAAATTTAAAAACTCACCATACTTTTAAATCACATCTTATATTTAGCTGTTTATTTGGTGCATTTTTTTTCTTTTTTTGTTTTTTTTTTCCTGCTACCGGGAATCGAACTCAACCTCACGCTTGCCAGGCAGGTGCTGTGCTGCTGAGCTAAATCCCCAGCCCCCTATTTGTTGCATTTTTAAGAAGAAAAAGGGTATTAGGTTAATACACATTCTTTATATTTTCTTTTAAACCTTTATTTAAGTATTACTTTTTTAAATGTGTTTTTTAAATCATGATAAAGAGCACATGACAAATTTACCATGTTGCCAGGCGTGGTGGCAGCTATCAGTAATCCCAACACTCAGGAGGCTGAGGCAGGAGGATCACCATGAGTTCAAGGCCAGTCTGGGCTACATAAGTGAGTTCAAGGCCAGCCTGTACTACATTGATTTTTTTTTTTAATTTTAAAGAGTAAAAGAAGGATAATATAATAATAGGGGGGACTTAGCAAATTACAGACAAAATGGTAGGAAATTATCAATGGTTATCATTTTACATATTATTATCTACAAAATAGTTTCTCAGGAAAACAAATAGACAAATAATAGTGAGTTACAGACAAAAGAGGTAGGAGATTATCAAGAGTTGTTT